GGGGGGGGGTGAAGGAGCAATGCACATGCGTCTCCAGGAGAAACAAGAAAACGTAAGTTGAGTATCCCAATGACCTACCGTTTGGGCCTGGTTCTGGGATAGGATAGTTCTCCTAAAGGAAACAAAACAGAAAAATCATTTAGGATGCATAATACATTTACCGTCTGAACATTTTCAATTTTTCAAAATTAAAGTGAAGTTTCATTCAAATGTTTCTTCTTAGAATTAACACAGGCTCAGGCCACACTGCTGCTGGGTGGATGCTGGAGGGGCTACACTGAACAGTGCTATACTCACCCCACTCAATGGTGCGCTTTGCCCAGGACTCAGAAACAAAGTATGCTATGTGCATCCCCAGACAAAAAGGGTGTTTGGGCTGCTACTCTAGATCTGCTTTCCCTTTCAGCTCCTTGTGCTCTGAAAACACACGTTGCTAGATACAGATTTGTTTAGTCTGGCAAACTTGGACAGGGAAAGGATGAGGGTGTTTCTAGCAGCTGCACAGGTTGGAAAAGTGTGAGGCTCTTCTTTCCCCTCTACACCAGGGCACAGACCAACACTTGGTCCTCCCTTTCAAAACATCCTGTATGGAGGTTTAAAGGTCCCCTGGGAATACATGGGACCTGTATTTTGAATTCTCATAGGTTCAAAAAGCAATCTGAGTTTTCCTCATGTTCACAGCTATTATTTATTTATTTTAGAGAGAGGAAGGGAAAGAAACATTGATTTGTTGTTTCATTTATGCATTCATTGGTTGATGTATGTGCCCTGACCAGGGATTGAACTCAGAACCTTAGCTTATCTGCACAACGCTCCAACCAGCTGAGCTCCAACCAACAGGGCACAGCTATTGCTATTATTATTATTTTCCCTCAATGCCAACTGGCTAAGAAATTCCTGGTCATGAGGAAGAACAGTGAGTGGCCAAATCCAAGCGGCTATTTCATTTTACTATTTTTTAAAAATATGTCTTTATTGATTTCAGAGAGAGGGAAAGGGAGAGAGACAGAAACACCAATAATGAGAGTCATTGATCGGCTGCCTCCTGCACACCCCCTACTGGGGATCGAGCCTGCAACCAGGGCATGTGCCCTGACCAGGAATCTGAACCTCGATCTCCTGGATCATAGGTCGATGCTCAACCGCTGAGCCACACCAGGGCCAAGTGGTTATTTTATTAATTCTTTGAAGGCGGTCCAGAAGAGGAAGAAGGGATATGAAATGTTCATAGCACCTACTATGTGCCAGACAGTGTTCTGGGCTTTACACACATCATGGCAAAAGGTCCTCGTCACAGCCCAGTTTGCAGATGTGAGATCTGAGGCTGGAAAGTTCAATAACTTGGTCAAGGTCATATTGCCAGAGAGTGGATAAATCAGGGCTAAACCCAGTGGGTCTGATTCCCAAGCCTGCCTCAATGCATCCCCCCACTGCACCCCCAAGGTGGCACATCTTTTTTCCTTGAGGGGTGATGCAAGGAGCAGTCTATTGGGTGATGAGGTCAGAGCTGGGCCCCACACAGAGCACTCTGGGAGAAGACACTACTCAAAGTTTGCCTCACTCTGAAAGCATCCCCAAGATGCTCTTATAGGTAGCAATACACAACACTGGGGCTATTTAGCTAAAAAGATAATAACCTTGATGCCAAGGACCATGCCTTCAATCTCTTTGAAACCAGGTACAGTGTTCTGCCTCGTGGGCTTATACTGGTTAAATATCCATTCTCCATAATAGTGTTTCCACGGAAGGTCTGAGGTTCTTGCTCATCTCAGATTATTACCAGCCCTTTCTGTTGAAGTAGCTCAATTATAATTTGAACTCCTTGTCTCCAGTGAAACAAAGCCCAAAGCAATCATGCTGATGCTGACCAACTGCTTTGCGTCAGGTCCTGTGCTAAGTGCTATACATGCATCACCTCCTTTAACCCTCACAGCAGCCTATGTGGTACCTTCCAATATCCCATTTTCCATATGATGAGACTAAGAATGGTGAGATTTAGCAAAATGCCCACGGTAACACTAAGGTAGTAATGGTAGGGATGCATCCAAAGCAGCCTGATGTGGGGAGAGGGGCTCAAGGCAGTTTTCCATCTTTTAATAATTTAAACTGGCTACATCTAGAAGGG